AGGAAAAATACAAATAGGGCTTAGGACACAGTTAAGATTAAACTGTAGACTATATTACCTGGAGTCTGAAGAAAGCATCACACTGAGTGGGCCTCACTCACCCCTCTTCTTTGATTTTCCCTGATGCAAGGTACATATATGACTATGCACACTATTTTTATCCTTAGCTACTGGAAAACACTAAGATGTACCTTTCAAAGTTCCTGTCACTTCCATTTTATCAACTGGTTGTCCTTTCTACAGTGGTCAGAATTAATTCCTTTAAGACAAATCTCAGAAAATCATATCAAATAACGTTTGTAATTACAGGTCTTACTGTGATTATTTACCAGGAACTGCCTGGCTCCCTGGCCTCACTCTCCTACTATATCTAGGTGAACCTCCTTATCTCCCTTTATGTGTTCACACCTCCTTACACTGAAACTAGTTCTCCTCCTGAACAAGAAGGATATAAGGAACCCTTTACTCAGGTGATTCGATCAGTATCAAATGTTTCTCTTGCTACTGTTGGCACCTTTTTTTGCTTCTCCCTGTGCTGGCACCTTGACCTGGAGTCCTCATCTTTTATACTGGGTGGTTTATCCTTTTCCTGACTGCCAGTTTCCTCTGTCTCCTAACATACGTGCTTTTCCTACTTCGTACATGTTAATTCTGCTACTGACTCTGTATCTACTCTCACTCCAATCTGTGCTTGCCCTACTAGCCATTTGCCTGCACTATCACTAGGTCCATGGCACACACACCTATATAAAGTCCTGTATTAAGTTCAGGGGATCACATTTTAGGAAGGACGTTGATAAGCTAAAGAGGAAGCCAAACAGAACAGTGAAACACCTTGAGATGAGCCACATGCAGATTAGTTGAGGCAACTGCAGATATTTAGCCTAAAGTAAGGATCACATGATCCCTTCTTTGAACACATGAAAGCTGTCATGGGGAAAAGATATTAAAACCGTTCTACCTGGCCCCATGAGCAATAGGAGGAAGTTTTGATTTTTCTAGCCTTCATCCCTTTACTGAGATCCAGTTCCATGTCACCAACTGCCTGAGTATTTTCAACTCAGTACATCCCACACCTAATTCATTTATCTTTTCCCCTAAACTTATGTCTCTTCTTAACTTCTCTATGCCTTACAAGAGAACTATCATTCTTCCCGTCATCCAGGTTCACAATCTGGCAATCCTTGATTCTTTGCCCTCCCTCACTTTCCATATCCAAGACTAGTTAGTCATGTTCATTCTACCCCCACAACCTCTCCAGTAGCCTTTCTCTTCTTTCCACTCACATTGCCACCACCCTAACTCAGGTCGTCTTCAACTGATGGGGGAATAGGGAAAATACAACAGAGCTGACCAATTCAAGAGCCTCCTAATTGGTCTCCCTTCATCCAACCTCTCCCTTCTCTAACCTACCCTCCATAGAGCTGCACACTGATGTTCCTAAAGCACGGGTCTGATCTTGTCACTCCCCTGCTGGAGATACAGCCCTGCTTGTAGGATAAAACACAAACTTCTCCATTTGGCATTTCAAGTCCTTCACAATCTGGCTTTACCCTAATTTTCCACGGTGATAACACATTACTCCTTACACTCCGTACCTTCCAGCCAAACTGGTCTGCTTACTGTTCTCCATTTTCAGGCTCCACACCTTGGCACAGGCTGTCATCCCTCGAGCTTGGAATGCTCTCCCTCCTCCCCGCAGCTGCCACCTCCTGCAAGAGGCATTTCCTGATTCCCACAGCTGTTAGTGCTCATCCCCTGCCTGAAATGACTTTCTATTCATTTTGTATTTACTATCTGTGTACATATTATTAAGTAAGCTCATTCAGGGCAAGGATGGTATAATTTTGATCTTTGCATTCATTCTCAGCACTTAACAGCGTCACATAGCAGACACTTAATAAACATTTGTTGAATTTAACCTAAGAGAAGTCAATTAATCAATAAATCTATCGGTTGACAAGCATTTATGAAGCACTTCCTTTATGTCAGGCACTGTGCAGGGTGCTGGAGATATAAAGACTAAAATAATCCTAATACTCAAGGAGCTCACATCCCAACAAGAAACAGCAGTATATAGTTAAGTATATAAAGAATAAATATAAGACTAATGAAAAAAGAGTTAAATACAGGGGCAATGTGGAGAATAGGGATTGGCAATTGGGAGAATCAAGAAAAACTTCCTGTAGAAGGTGGTGTTTGAGTTTCATCTTAAAGGAAGGGTGGCATTCTCTGAGGCAGAGGTGAAAAGGAAGCAAGTTACTGGCATGGGATACAACCAATGCAAAGACTGGAGACCAAGAACTGTGGATGAAAATCCTCTGTGGGGAGGAGGAACTGTAGTTGGAAGAGACTTGAGGATAGAAGACCAATTAGTAGACCTCTGCAATAGTCTTGGCAAGATGTAACCTGAACTAAAGTGATGGTTGTGTGAGTGGAGAGAAGGGGTTGAATGCTAGAACTATTGTGGAAGTAGAAATGACAAAATTAGGCAACTGTAGGGTGAAGGAGAGTGAGCAGTTTAAGATGATGCCAAGGTTATGAATCCAGGAAAATGAAAGACAGAAAAGGGGAAGTGTGGAAGATTGGAGAGGAGGCAGTGTCCAATAGGTAACTGGTGAAGTGAAGTTGCGGCTGTGACTGGATATATAGATCTATGAGTCATTTGCAGAGAGATGACAATTAAGCCTTTGGGAGGTATGAATCTTCCAAATGAAAGGAGAGAAAAAGAGGGAGAAGAAGAAGGAAGAGCAGGTGAAGGAGGAAAGAGAAAAAGAGGAGAGAAGAGGAGAGGAGAGGAGAGGGGAGGGGAGGGGAGGGGAGGGGAGGGGAGGGGAGGGAAAGAGGCCTAGGTTAGGAGCCATGAGTAAAAGCTCAAGAGAGGCAAATTTTGGCTTAATATTAAGAAAAATTTCTAACAACTGCAGTTACCCAAAAACAGAAGGAGCTACCTCAAAAGGTAGTGGGTTCCTCTTTATAGGAGGTCTCAATCAAAGACTAAATAATCACTTATATGGTTATATTGTATTGTAGAGGGGACTGTGTTCATGCATGGATTGGACCAGACGACTTCTGAGTTCCCTTCCAACTCTGAGATTCTGTGATTCTATGAATACTCATTGTGCTCTATCTCGCAAGGTAGTTATGAAGGTTTTGTAATCCTTAAAGTGATATCTAAATAGGAGCTATTACATAAGTAATATAATCCAACCACTTTATTTTATAAAGGAAGAAAATGAGATGCTAGGTGACCTGGATGATTAGTGACAGTGCTATTACAAGAGCCTGGGACCTCCGGATTTCAGTGTTCTTTATGTCACAATACAATGCCTATCTCTCACTAGTCCTTTACTCTATGTGTAAACCAATATTTACTGAAACCCCATCAGAGCAGAAAAGATAAGTTTTGAAGCTGGCTAAAGCTAAGTCCTTTTAACCTTCTGATGTGAATGTGGATTTCAAGGAAAACTTTTACCACACATTCTCTTCTCAAGATAGAATTCAGCCCAGCATTCATTTCTCATTTGTTGATATTGTCAGACTGTGGAGCACTGGAGTAGAGATCATCCCTCTTCTCCAAGAAGCGCCTTTTCATTTTGCGACCACATTTTGACTATAGAAAAGGACATGTCCTAACCTGGAATAGTAAGAAATAGAAGCTATCTCTAATTTATTTCACTCATCGTAGATCTGATCCACAGAAAAATATTTCTATTTCTTAAGGAATATCAGTTTCTTATAATGAAACATTTGACCTCCTAAAAAAGAAAATGTGAATTCTTTCCAGACAGAAATTGATCACTTTCACATCTCTAAATAAACTTTTCCCAATAAAATGGAAAGCAGTTACACTGCTTACCAGACAAAAAGAACAGAGTTTCTGTCAAAGCTCCCCTCCTAATGAAATTATTTATAAAATAGATTATTATAAATAATTTTCAATTATTTCCATATATTTTCAATTACTATAAACTTATAAGGGGTATGATGAAATTTTCCAGAAAGACTTTAATAATATTCATTATGATCAGAGACCTTAGATGGAGAGCTGGTTGGCTGGGGCCTCAGTTTTATGATCAGACCCTGAGTTTCAGAACATAAGGCAGCTTGTCTGAACTTCTACAAGTAATAAGTACCAGAGTCAAGATTTGAATGAAGGTCCTCTTGACCTTCAACATCATATTCAGTAATCTTTCCACTACAGTAAAAAGTCAAAATAAATGATAAAGCATCTTATTATAGTAGTAATAGTTACAGTGGTAATAGCATTAATAGTGGTAGTGGTAGTAGCAGTAGTAAGCAGTAATATAATGATTTTAGGTTTGCAAAGTGCTTATGAGATAATATCTCATGCTATCCTTACAACAACACTTGGAGGTAAGTGCTATTATTATACCTATTTTACAGTTGAGAAAATTGAGGAAAACTGTGGTTAGGTGAATTTCCCAGAGTTACACAGCTAAGTGTCTGTGGCTGGATTTGATTTCAGGTCTTCCTGACTCCAGACCCACCTGGTGTTCTATACACTACACCACCTAGTTGCCTAAACTAAAAGGCATCATCAATTGATGTTAATAATGAAAATAACATTTTATCAAGTATATATAATCACCATTAAAGTCTTAAACCAATGGAGACTCTCCAAGCAGAACATTAGTTCTGGCAGGTCATTCTATGCTGGAAAAGTTTCAAATATGGGTGCAATGACAGACTACATTTATCACCTAAGGACCAGTTCAGCTAAACTCCAAGGCTCATTATCATGCTGGTCATAGGACAATGACTCTTTCAACAGCAGCAGGTCTTAATGATAGTCTGCCCAGTCAAGGAGAGCTTGGGATCTGTGTCACTAAACAGAATACTCATTCCAACAAACTCAAGATGCTTGGAGCACCACTGAAATAAGGGAGGACACAATCTATATGGGCACCAATGAATATCAGTGATGAAAGAACAGGTAATAGAAATGTTCAGACACGAACACGTCAATATGAACTTACCTCTGATACTGATTAAAATAGCAAGTGAATGGCTGAGAACCAATTTCATCTTCCCAGTACTGTTGCCAAGTCATGACACTTTCCAAATTCTTCTGATTTTCTCTTTCGCAAGGAGGGATATATGAGCACTAGCAAAACAGAACACAGGAAGTAAAATTAGCACTTTGCATGACATTACAAGATGTGGAGAAGATCTAAACTCTTACTAGAGAGGAATACCACAAATATAGTGGATCTAATTAATTTTAGTTACCACAAAAAATAAATTTTATTTTAAAATTCCAAGTTAAAGCAATTATAGAGATGTACACCATGTCCATTAATTCACAGGAATAAGGACACTACCCTAAACAACTGATAACAATAAAATAGGAAAACAAAAACCATACTCTCTGAGAGGCAGAATGTTACATGTTCAGATAGTGATCTTGGGCAAGTCTCTTCTTCCTAGATAATAGTTTTCTCATCTTTAAAATGAGAAACCTGGACTGGATGACCCCTAGATCCCTTCTAGCTCTAAATCTATGGTTCTGTGATCCACCTGGGGATTATTATCCAGAGATGGAGGTAAAATAAGCTCAACTCTATCTTTTTCCTCTCTAGAAACCATCCCATATTCCTGCACGTCCCCCTTTCTGCACATCACCTTTCACATATACTCTTAGTACACAGCTGCACTGATATTCCTATTTATTTTCTGTCTTATTAGACCTTCCACTTTTTCACAGTGGAATATTCTCCATAGTCTATGAGAAGACACTTGTTTTCTGAGTATACAATCTCAAAGGATTTTCTGAAAACACACCTTCTGGACAGATGTCTAATAAGGGATGCTCTCTAAAAGGGTTCCACATCCCCTACTATTCCGCCTTCATTCTGGTTTCATGAAGAGATAGCCCTTCTCCTTGCTCCTCCTCCTCTACATGGACCATTGAACCCAAACTCAACAGGCTTCTCTGGCAGACTGCCCCTACTACTATTCCCACTCCCTTTCTATAACTATTAGCTCCTTCCTGGATAACTATAAATATGCTCATGGTGCTCCCTCATCCTCAAAAAGCCTTACTTGTATATACCATAATTTGTCCAGCCATTTTCAATTAATAAATGCCTTTTAAGTTTCCAGCTCTTTGCCACTACAAAAAGAACTGCTAGAGATATTTTTGTACATATTGGTCCCTTTCCTTTTTTATTGCTCTCTGGAACATAGGCATAGTAGGTATACTGCTGGATCAAAGGATATGCAGAGTATGGTAACTTTTGGAGCATAGTTCCCAATTGCTTTACAAAGTGCCTGGGCCAATTCACAACCTCAACAACAGTTCATTAACATGCCTGTATTCCCACAGCCTCTGAAACATTTGTCATTTTCTTTCTTGGTCAACTGCCAATCTGATGGATGTGAGGTTGCTTTAAGTTGAATTTCTCTAATTATTAGTGATTTGTAGTATTTTTTCATATGGTTATAGATAGCTTGAATTTCTTCCTTTCAAAACTGTTTATATCCTTTGATGAGGTCTATCCCTTTCTAACTCTGCTGCAAGTTTAAATAAAGAAAGCTAGAACAAATAACATTTGTACAGATATTACCAAGCAAAACATGTAGACATTTTTATATTGAGCACCCATAATGTATGAAATGCTCTGTTGTGCCATGCATATCGAGATTTCAAAAGAGAGAAATGAAATATGATTCTTGCCTTTAAAACATTCACAATTTTAGAGGGTGTTAAAGTCGAGGCTCTAACATAGCACCCTCTTAGTTCAGATTTAATGCTGGGATGAAATGAAGTACTCACAAGTTATTTAACATTTAGCAAAAAACAAAGGAGGTTTACTTTGCCTTAAAACATCAAGAATATGCAACAAGTACATGATACCACTTAGTTTTTCTGGATGCAGCTTCATCTCTACCTGTAACCTTGCCTGGTCAGTAGGTCATCAGGGTTATTCCCATGGTCTTAGTCTTAGAAGTACAGAATCTGCATGGCTGGGACTTTTTATGTCGCTAGATGACCAAGAAGCTAGAGCCAACCAGGTCCTGGGAGCATCTTTGTCCTATCAATATACCACTCCTTAGTGGCAAGGTCCTAAGGATCTACTAGAGTAGTGGTGTCAAACTCAAATCGAAATGTATCCCTACAGGCTTCCTATTGACTTCGAAAAAAATCACAAATTAATATTGTCTATGTTGTACTGTATTTTCAATCATTTTGTTAAACATTTCCCAATTACATTTAATCTAGTTTGGGCCACATTTGGGAGTTTTGCAGGCAGTGAATTTAATACTTCTGTTCTAGAGGACACTGCACTCTTTAAATGCTTATAGAGATTTTTATTGGGCAATCCTTCTGGCATGGGCAGTACAAAAGGTGAAAAGGAGGAAAACTGAAGCCCCCTCCTCCACCCAATGTGGTAAATACACACCCATCATAGCTAAATATCAATAATTTCACCTATTAGCAAGCAAATGACCTCCCAGCAATAATACCTCTTGTCCCCCCAAGTTCTTTCTGGGAAGAAGTTCCCTGAATCATCTCACAGGAAAGGAAGCCAGCCAATTGAGCTGCTTCTGAGCCTGAGCTACTTTTCTAAGGTATATGGAGCCCTCTAAAGAGGCAAGGACCTTCAGACCAGGGTACCTCTGCACTGGGGAAGGAAGTACCAACCAGAATTCTGTCCAAAAACAGTGCATTCTTATCAGATAAATCTTTCTGAAGACAAAATCCAAGAGAAATCATTAGATGAGGACCTTTCCAGGGTTGCATTGATTTGTCACAGACGAGGCTTCTAGGACATAAGATATCTGACTTGGGAAGATGCATAATGATGCACCTGTTGATCAGCAGGGGCAAAACTCTCATCCTGAGATAGGAGAGTGCCTATCTGGGGAAAGGTTGAGAGCCACTTGGTTAAGAATAGCTGTCTTGCCCTTAGAGGGATCGTCTGGTCCTATGGCTAGCACAGCATGTTATCATTATCCAAACGTCCATATTGACACTGGATCCACTTCTCAATATCTGTTGTCCTTGTAATTCTTCCAACCTAGTTGTTTAGCACATATCTCTCATGGGTGCTAACATATCCCACAAATAACTGATTGCAGGGGGAAGCATTGGCAAGATTCCTCCATTGGTCCTGACCTCAAAGGGGAGAGATCTTCTGTTTGTCTAGTGCTATGTTCTCCAGGCCACACACTGCTTGGCCACACGCATAGCCACAGCCCAGAAACTCTCTGGCTAAAATATGTGATAGTATAAAGGAGAAGGATGGCAAAGACATATTGGCCTCCTTCCCAGGTGAAATAAAACTATTCTGACTAATTTTATATCCACAGGAGTAGAGTGGGAAAAAGCGTTGGCAAGGTTGATGGACCCATACCACTCACCCTGGATCACTTTCCAGTAATCCACTGTAATCCTGCAAGAGATGAAGATTAGCAACTTGCCTGTCTTGTAAGTCTTAGCTAGTTGCCCAGGGCAGTGAGAGGTTAAATGCCTTGCCAAAAGTGACACAGTAGTATGCATCAGAGGTAAGACTTGAACCTTTTTTCCACTACATCATGTTACCTTTTGACTTTAAAATACTCTCCCAAATTTCTAAAGATAACATAGCATTGAAAATAAAATGTATTTGCCTTCACATCTCAGGGGTGGCTCTCCAAAGCATGCATAAAGGAAACCGAATGATAGTGGGAAAACGAGGTCTGGACATGTTAGGAGAAGAAAGAAGTACTGCAACACCCACTCCAAGAGAAGTGTGATGGGGTAAAGAAGGGTCCGGATTCTGCAGAAGGTTCAGTCAGTGCTACAGAGAAGTGTCAGCTCTTTAGTATCAACTGGGCAAAGCCAGTACTCTATGAGGACGGGAAGACAGAAAGGAGCACAATAGGATAATGTGCTGAAGCTGACAAAAGAATAGACATTGGCATCGATTTTTATTATTTCCTGAGGAAGCTTTACTGATATGAATCAATTGCCAAAAAGAGCACCCCCCAAAATGGGAACCCACATTGGCTAGCAACCTGCTCTCCTTACAATATCTATAGCTTTAGACAGGATTCCAGAGAGGCATTGTAAGTAAGTTTAATTCTATAGCTGCAAATAGTAACCCAGCATGGAAGGAGGAAGGGAGAGGGATTGAACCCATGATTTGCTTTGTACAGAGAACTTCTGATCAGGAAACTCCTTTGACAATGCAAGAACCGAACCTACTCAGCAACTCAGAGTCTTAGTTGCCCAGAACATTGAGAAATTAAAGAGCTTACTCAGGTGCACATAGTCAGTATGTATGTATCAGAGATGGGCCCTGAACCCAAGGCTTTGAGCTATCCCTTACAACAAAGAGATTCACAGAGGAAGAAATAGAATGTCTGCCAGCATTCACTCACCCTGTTTCCTCTAAGTCCCTTGTTTTTTCCAAGCTCCTCAAAAATCCTTTGATGTCTATCCTTGCCCCCTTTGTAGGCCACAAATAGTTACTTATCACTTCTTATTACCTTTATAGATTCATAATTTGGGAATATAACTTGAATGATACATTTCCTGAGAATTCTAAGCCCTTTGTAGGAAGACACTTGAAAATAAATGTTATGGTAGTAAAGCATAGTAGAAAAGACTAGTGTGAATCAAAACGCCATACCACTAGCAAGTGAATTCTCTGTCACTAATCCGCCTGAACTGGAATGGGAACTGTCTTCTTTGAAAAAATGGAGGAAGACTCCTGCTGCACAAGGATGAGGTGATGTATTATGTTCATTTGTTTTCCTAGTACATTCTCTGAAAGGTGGATTAAGACCTTTTTGGCTTGCCTTTGGGTCCTTATTTGGCTAGGTGGTCAGTCTCTGATGCCATCAATACAATTTCAATTGGGCTTTATTTATGGGCACAATGGCCTTACTTGTTGGGACAATAAGGTTTTTCTCAGGAGAAACTTCTGTATTTTACATCTAACCTTTCTTATTTTTCATTTGGCAATGGCCACATATTATTAACTTCTGATTACATCAGTATCTTGGGAGTACATCTACAAAACACATCATAGTAGCTTGACTGCCTGAAATTTAAGGAAATCTTCTTTAAAAAAAAAAGTCACGTGGGAAGTATGTAACTTTCTCTTCTAAATAAGT